TGAACTTTCATTTCAATTAAATTAATAAAAATAAATGTATGTATCAAGAAGTCGATAATCAAGTTCGTGTGTTTATCGATTGCTTGTAAGATACCGCTCGATTTTCATCGGACCTTCGTATGTTAATAAAAAAAAATCTATGTACTTCTCCGCTATTGTTTTTCCTGATAATTTTTCACACGTATAATAATATAGTGTGCTATTTAGAATTGCTTCTGAATACTTATAAATCACGTTTAATTAACAAATTTTAAAGAGGTCCTTCCAAGTCGTTTTTCTCAAATACTAAATTCATTTAGTCTTTTAAAACTTACTATGTTTTTGTGTTATTTTAAATATAATAAATTCCCCATATTCCATCGGTTACAATTTTTAAACAATTTTAATAACAATAAAATAATAATTATGAGTTATTGTTGTAATCGATAATAAAGTAATAATTTGTTATCACTCAATGAGTAATTAATTAATGTTTTACCAGAATCAGTAACAGCATCATTAACTCTTAACGAGGGATTGTTTTCCTGCGCAACGATGTTAAATGTACCGAAGGCACATAAACACGTAGACTGTTTGAAATGAGAGCTATATTAGTTTAATCACGATCATAGGTGTAATCATTTCGTGATTAATAATTACTGAGTTAATCACGTGTGTTAATGGTAACAGTTTCGATTACATCCCTCGTTCATTAATTATTGACTACTGACTTCCTTTTACAAATAACGAGGGAACACGAGATATGAATTGATTTCTGTTATCAATTTCCACACGGTAAAAATGCATCAAAAGATAATACTTCGATTATTGACACTACCGTCTCCTATATCGCGATGCAAATTTTATTTACGATCAACAAGTATTGTATTAAATAATTTACTATTATGTGATGTCTGTATTTCGTAAAAATTCATTACATCATTGAAATGTGTCTCGTGAACATTTATTGTAATTATTTATTACGATTTTATATAAATATTTTATTTTAAATGAAACACATTTAACAATTACGTGCATTAAGTGAACATTTACAATTTCTTGATATGAATAATTATTTATTTATTTAATTATGAATTTTAATTACTTAACGAGTTAAAGAATTATAAAATGCTTTTATAATCAATCAATCAAATTTTAACCATATCTATTTTTCAGTATAGAAAATATGAAGGTGTCGAAATAATATTTTGCAAGTTGAATTTTATGTACCACCCTAATTTGTCATTTTGAATTTTAAGCAGCATTACTTTCAATAGTCATTTTGAATTTTAAGCATAACCCTAATTTGTCATTTTAAGTATTCAGCAGCACCCTAATTTTTCATTTTGAATTTTAATCACCACCCTAATTTGTCATTTTAAATATTAAGCACCACTCTAATTTGTCATTTTAAATATTCAGCAACAACCTAATTTTTCATTTTGAATTTTAATCACCACCCTAATTTATCATTTTAAATATTCAGCAGCATCCTAATTTGTCATTTTAAGTATTCAGCAGCTCCCTAGTTTTTAATTTTTAATTTTAATCATCACCCTAATTTGCCATGATAAAATTAACTACCACTTTAGTCAATCATTTTTTTCTTATCATAAGTTGCCACATGTTATCAAAGCACAAAAATTATTATAACTGCAATAAGATTAAATTATCACATGCTAATTTAATGAATTTTTTTTAATCGTTTTCCTATTGCCTGTTCACTCTCGAGTAGAATTCTCCATGTAATGGAACACCCTATGTACTAGCAGTACGAAATGTATTGTTCGGATAATAGAACATTCCGATAATAGAACGTTCAGATAATAGAGAGTTCGGATAATGGGTGTTCCGATAATCCAGGTGCGTCTGTAGCAGCATATCAACAGTTGTCTTTACCGACAACAAATACAAATAATTACAGCTGTACTTTGAGAAAATGAACCTTGTGCGATTTTAGGCATAGAAACAGCAATGTCATAATGGAAACCAATGGGTAATGGAATAGATCTCTCTGTTACAGTGGATTCTAATGGACATGCTAAATACACGAATGATCTGGTGCGGATATTCCAACAGGAACATCGTTAAACATTTTGTGATTATATAAACAATAATAATGAACATTTTTGGATAGCCTAAAAAACATCACTTATTATTGTGGATTAATACAAAAAGTGTCATTATATACATTTTGAGATAAACCAAAAAATATGTATTACTAATCTTTTTGAGATAGTCTCAAATGAATGTAACAGTGAATAATTGAGGTGCATTGAAAAAACGTAGCAGTAAAAATGAAACAATAGCTTTACAAAAATTTCGAACATTATATTAATTTAACTTTATACACAATAATAACAGACTCACGGGCAAAACCTATAAGATACATATAACTTTACATATAAAATATGATTGTCAAATATAATTCCAATATTGCAATCAAAAATGAGAGAAATTCTTACTAAAATAAGTAACAACAACATTTTCCTTCTCATACATTTATTTCTGCTCAAAGATATTCGTTACGTCTTTGACATACCAGTCCATCATTTCAGAATGGCCAGCTTTGACGTACCAATACGTCATCCGTTGCAAATGGGTTAATAGCTGTGAACCAAGTACTATCTGCAATAAATCTTCCATTTAAAGTATTTCTCCTCTATGACGACTTTCCTAAAAGAAAAATCCCAAAAATGTTGAAATATATTCCATAATTTGGAAATTAGTACGCACTGCAAAAATTATCAATTTCCAAATTTTCTAATATCTTCAATGACAAAAAGAGTTTGTGCATGGTTATCTGAATTTTAATTTAATCACATACGCGTAGTATTTTCGACTCATATTTTTCTGTGAATTATTCGGAGAATTTTTGACGAATTGTTAAATTACATTTCACAGATTACATACTCAAGAGCACATACTAGATACACTCACGCTAAAAGTACTCTCAAGGTCGCCAACTTTCTAGATCACCAAATCACTACTACACTTCACTACACTAACTACACTCACGCTATAAATCTCTGAAGGTCCCCAAATTTCTAGATCACCAAATCTCCGCTATACTCCGCTACACTCAAGAACTTCACTAACTACACTCACACTACAAGGACTCTCAAGGTCTCCAAATTTCTGGATCACCAAATCTCCACTATACTCCGCTACACTCAAGAGCTACACTAACTACACTCATACTACAAGGACTCTCGAGGTCTCCAAATTTGCAAATTACCAAATCTCCACTATACTCCGCTACACTCAAGAGCTACACTAACTACACTCACACTGCAAGGACTCTCAAGATCTCCAAATTTGTAGATCACCAAATCTCCACCATACTCTACTACACTCAAGAACTTCACCAATTAAATTCACACTACAAGAACTCTCAAGGTCTTCTCCTTCCTGTACCAATCTAACCTCCAAACCCGTAACCATAAAAATAAAAATGGCGACAATGGCAATGAAATGAGCAATAGTGTACGACAACCCGATAGATTATTATTAAGTAGCGTTAAATATCACGCGAATAAAACTAACGAAGAACAGTATGGCATAAAAAGCTCTGTATATAGCGCCATGCCTCGGGCTACTTACCAATGCCATTACTGTCCTTTCTGCATCGCGACGACTCGCACCCTTCTCAAGCATCGCAAACCAGACGTTTTCCGGCTCTGCTGGACGTGGTATACAAGTTTAATGGCAGGTGATTGTCATGACTTCTGCTCTTTGCGCCGCTCTTTTCGCCCGTGGCGTGCGGTTTACCGAGGGAAAACGATGTCTGCTCTGTTATTAATTTTTCAGCGAAACTTTTAGTTAACGAATATCCCTCGGATACGAATGCAGACGTATGCAGTTATTCAAAATTGAACGTACAACTTCTTTTTGTTATCGAAGCGTTTTGTGTAGACGTTTGAATTTAACAAAGGGGTTGATGTGTTCGTTGAATAAATTCTTTATTGTATGAAGTCTGTTCAGAGAGTTCTTTTAAAATTGGTTGACTGTCTTCGGGGTTTTTATGAAGATTTGCAAATAATATTTATGTTAATTAGTGTGTTATTTGTACATTTTGACAGTGAGTAACCTTGTAACTCTGATACGAAGTTTGTTAACATAGTTCTCTCAAAATCTGTTGATTTTCTTCAAGGTTTTCATCAACATTTACAAATACTTCTTATGTTAATTTATGTTTTATCTTTTGCTCATTTTGACCGCAAGTAACTTTGTAATTCTGTAATCTTTGAAAATAAGAGTGTATTATACGTAGATTTCATGATGAAGTTTCTGTAGCTATGCAGAAATGTTTTCAGCACCAATTTAGTCCATTTTGTAAGATCTCTCGAAGAAGATACATAAATATTTAATGTCTGAATATTTCGTTTTGTAATCCACATTCAAATGTTAAGTGAAAGCTGCAACTTAATAGACTAGTTCTTCCTGCGTTGTATATTACATTGCCATAAAACGTGATTTAACTTTTATTATTATTGCTAGAGTATTGTATATTTAATTAATCCTATTCTCGCTGCTGAAAAGTTATAATAGGTAGCTCTACATTGATTAATAGTAATAAACTTAATTTAATTTAAATTTTTAAAAATTGTCTCCTATTTGCCTCGTACCACTTGATTTTAAGAGAATATATGAAACTTTAACGAAAATTTTTCTATCGTACGTAAAAATAAAAAATGTAAAAGTAGCGGTTAGGTTCTTTTACACTCTCCTTTAATAAAGAGAAGCCTCGGATGTACGTAACTGCAATCAGCCTTCGATATAGCCACCCATAATAGCGACAAAGATGGAACACATTTTCCTTCTGAACATAATTTGCACCCGGAAGCCACAAACGGTGCAAGCCATAATTAAATGTTTCACTCTTTAACAATTTTGCTGTCAGAAAATTAGTCACAAATTAATTATTGTAGGTACTTAGTTGCTCACTATGTCTACAAATGGTGTGCTTTTGTATAATTAATATGAACTTCTTGAAGTGAAGCTGAAATTAATATTTTCAGGAGAAAAATACGAGCAGTCGGTTACGGACAATGCGTACAAGATTCAGATGAAACTTACAATATTCTCGGTGACACAATCCGACTATGGAACGTACAAATGCATATCGAAGAATTCCCTAGGAGAAACGGATGGCAATATTAAACTCTACCGTAAGTTTTATTACTATTTAACAGATTTTGTACTACTAATTAAATTATTACAATATTAGTGATTTATACTTCAAGAATTTTTTTGTAATTTTTTAAAGAATAATTTTACTATCTAAAGAGTAGTATAGTTTCACTTATTTAACTATATGACAGTAGATGTATTTATATGACAATGTAACTGAAATTTTATTAAATAATTTACAGATATACCAACGCCAACGACACAAGTCAGAACGACAACACCTCCAAGTTCCACCGTCGAAGAAGGTAAATTTCTTGAAAGTACTAATATTTGTAATTAGTATTGCAATATTCTCTTGTGCATATATGTTCAGTGGTGCAGAAACGGGCCTAATGTATATAGTAAAATTTAATGAAGGTATTATATTTCCTCGTAAAATCTTGCATATTTCAAGTTATGTAGGAAGCGTGTTCTAATTGTTACGGTCTTGCCTGCACATTTAAGGTTGTTATATACTACTATAATAACGTAATGCATCCACAATTTTATTGAATAAACTTTGATTACGTATAAAATTTATGTACTATTAAGAGTAGAAAATCGTATAAAAAATAAAGAATTTTTTTGACGAATATCTTTTTTTCTGAAAGCTGCAATATATTGCTATTTAATTTAAAAAATGATCAAAACTCTCAGAACGATCATAAGTCATGTACCAAGTTTATCAGGCCTTCCAAAATTAATTTATGGACGTGATTTTCGTTCATTTTAAACTTTTTCCAATAATTTGCAATAAATATTGAACAAGTTTGTGATGGCCACCAAACTGACTTTTGTTTTGATAAATTGACGATCCGTCACACTCTGCAGAGACAGGCTTCGATAGGCAATTCCACTTCGTCGAAAAAAAATATATATAAAAGTTTGACTAAATTTTCCAGCAGCATCTATCTTTAAAATGCAGTTCGCCAATCAATCAATTTAGACAAATAAACGTACTCTCTAAATCGTGTTTAAGGAAGGGGAAATAAAACATTTTTAATCGAAGCAGCTGATGGTTTATTTCGATACAGGAAAATAAAAGTTTTTTAATTAAAGAATTGAGTATTCAGAATGTGAATTCAAAAGTAACAGTTAATGAAATAAGCATGAAATATTAAGTAAAGCAACAGTTACAGAGAAGCGAATAATTTAATTTTCAGTTGAGAATATTCAAAACTCGCGACAGGAACCATTGCCCAGTGAGGAACCAATCCAGAAACAGGGGACGGATAGGTCGTTAACTAATATCCTTAGGAATGATGGTGAGTAACTGCCATTACTTTAAAATAATTTAAAACAAATAGTAATTTATTAACAAAAATTAAAATAGGAAAAAAGGATCACTATGATTGTTAGAATCAGTTTCTGATATTTGATTTTCATAATTGTTACGTACACACGCAAAAAATGTTTATTTAATCAGATTTCAGTTGTCATTTCGTTTTACCGTTGACAGTGTACATGTATGCAAAATTTGCGATTTTGTTGAAGCAACTTTGAATATTCAAACGAATACAGCCACATTTGCATGTTTACATTTTGTAGTTACCAAGCAAAAATTCGATCAAATGTATCACGTAGAAAAAGCAACGATGGAATTAAATTATTATATCTTTTTATTATTCTGTTTAATTTCGCAAGTATCACTTATTATAATTCTTTGAGGTTTATACTAAATATGTATGTCACAGGTAAAACATTAATCTCATAATTGAAATATTTAAATTAACCACTTAGATTAGTATATTATGGAAGCAATACTTTTTTGACTATATTAGTTTCTTTTTTTATTCAAAAATATTTGTTTGTGATTACTAATGTAATAATAAAACAGTTTACTTTATAATTATCTACCATGTTTGAATTAGCAGTAAAAATTTTATAAATAATTTAATTAATATGTACATACATGTATTTTATGTGAACGTGTCAATAGTTATTGCTATTAATTTGAGTAAAGAACAAAAAACAGATAGAGACACAAAATACACCTTTCCAAAATAGAACAAAACAGTCAATTCAGTCAACTTAACCTAACAGTCAATTCAGTTTGGATATAAAAGTAGCCTTAATCAAATCTGACCCTTTTCTGTCAAATGACAGAAAATTTCAATATGAAATACGCCATACGTTAAAATGAAAAAGTTTGAGATAGAAATAATTAGAACGAGTATTCTCCTAATTGACGAACTGTTATGGGAAATGTTGAGGAAAATAAAAAATTGATGAAGAAACCACAGGAGATAAAATTTAAAACTGCATTCAACACTCTGCTCGCTAGCCACAAAGCTTAACAGTAGAATATTCGATTAAGAACTTTGGTATAAATGAAAAGTAGATACGGCGGGCGTATTTTAACGTAAATACGTTATCCCGCTTAGAAATTCCCTGAGAACTTCCTTTTAAATCATCGGCCCCGGCGTAATGCGAGAACTTACGCACAGTGGTGTGAGAAACTTTTTGAAGGGAAAGTTCGAAGGAAGACGTGAAATTTACCCGCGAACTTTCAGCAACGTGGCACGATGCCGTAGATCTTCTCCAAGGCGACAAACACTTCGTTCTCAACGGGATTTTGATGAAATCCCACGGCGGTTTATGAACTACCACGTCGCCTTCACTATGAAAAGTAATCTGATCTTTCGTTTGAGGAAACTTTCGTACAGGGTTCTCTGACTATTTCGCGTTTTATTCAATTGTAATCTGTCGTTTCGAGAAAATCCGAATATTACAAATTTCAACTGAACGTTCAATCTTGGCTATTTGTCTTCCGCATACTTTCATTTCACTTCGGATGTGGATTTAAACCTTTCATATCCACTTTGGGCGGTGGAAATTGTTATGAAATTTTTCTGCAATCTTCGTACGAAGGGATTTTATGGAACAAGCTTTCATTTTCTTTTTGACGTAATAAAATGAAGTAAAAATGACTGTCATCTAGAGCAGATGCAAAATTGGGGCATCTTTGTTTAAATATTTGAATAACATTTATACGTTTAGTGTAAAGTAACTCACGCGTGATGTTTAATATGTGGATATGTAATAAAATAAAAGAAGATAATATGAACAGAGAAACGTACAATAAATATTAATTATAACGAGACAAATTTAGTTTCAAGTTTTTTTAATTATTGCTATGACTTTTAAGTGATAGATAAATTTTATACTTTTATAGATATGATTTCTTAAAAAATATTTTCGATACAAATTTTATATAATTTTATCGAATACTTCAACTTATTCTTCATGCAATATTTATCTGATACTCGAACTCATTTTTTATTCCATATTTATTTGATACTTGAACTCATTATTTGTGCCATGTTTATTTGATACTTGAACTTATTTTTTATACCATATTTATTTGATACTTGAACTTATTTTATATCATATTTATTAGATACTTGATCTTATTTTTTATACCATATTTATTTGATACTTGAACTCATTATTTATGTCATATTTATTTGATACTTGAACTACATTTTCTTGATTGCACCTAAATTAAAACAGGGTTTCTTTTACCCTGTCAACTACCCAATAAATTTAACTATCTAATAGTTGGACCTGCTCAAATATTTCATGGCTCTTTTTAAATAAAAATGATACAGCCCGGTAAATGTGAGAAATAGAACAAAGAAAGTGTGGGTCATATACATATGACAGGAGCAAAAAATATACTCGTCAAATTTTCTCCCCTTTTCAACTGGGTCAAAAAGTAGATTCAGTGTCATTTTTGAAAGAGATGGTTCTATTTGAACTGTAACGAGGGTGAAATCGATTATTGCGAAAGAATAAAATATTCCGCAAATACATGTTTACTTGTTGTCAACATGTAATGGAGTGCTTTTTGTAGGAAACTATTTAAAGGAAACAAAATGCGTATAACAATTAAGGAATTTTAAATGGAACAATATAGAAATTCTAAGGGAAACTCTGTTTTAATAGATAAAGCATTATTTGTTTTTTGAGTGCCATTAACTGTGATATGAAGCTTGAATATGAAAATTCTATTTTACTTTCCAAGACCCCTTCAAGGAGAAGGGAATAATGAGATGATAAATGAAACGAGATTACGATAGAATGAAAGAGTAAACGAATGAAGGTAGATACTTATAAGGGAAATCACTTTATTTCGTGAAAGCTATCCTGCGCAAAATTTCACCCTCGCAAATTACAATCACTGTAAAAAATAACTTTCATACTTTTTATTTAGTATTGAAGAACAGAACAAAACTCAATCATGTACAATTGAATTTTTATTTTAAATACTGACATGATATAACGTAAAAAGAGATAATATCTTTGTAATAAAAATTAATTTCATGTTCAATTATTTGTAAATAAAATATGTGAATAATATGATCAATAAAATATGCGTCAAACATGCTCAGAATAATATCTGAAACATTACTGAAATACAGAAAATAATGATTTTATAAGTATGTTACTATTATTTAGTTAAGGAAGGAATTATGGTGTTTAACAAAATTTAATATCATTTCTGCTGTAAAAACATTTATGATGCATAATTGTAATTCGTGGTAAGTATGTATATTGAATAGTATAGCTCAATGACCTTGACCATGACATATATATAGAGGTTACGACAAAGTTGTATAATCGTTCCTGTTAGCTAACTTAAAGCTAACCTAACTTTTCGCGCAGTTCATCTAATACTCATCTTCCTGTAGTTTGAATACAGCTATGAATAAATGAAAAAGTAAGTTACATTTTATTTATTTTTCCGGGGACAATCGTTTCTAATAATTTCCATTTTATTTTTCGTTTTTTGTTTTTATCAAAGATATTCATATACCCTAAGAAGTTCCATTTCAAAATTAAACATTTTATAAAAACTCTTTACATCTCTGTTGATACGATCGTATACGATGGAAACTTCTGCAATATTATTTTCATATCTACTTTAAAGAATTTGTTAACGCATGATCGCCACTGCTAATAAATCAATCACTTTTTCTCAGATATACGGCTTCATGGTAGAGCAAGCAGCAGCGACTATAACGATGCTGAAAACAGCGTGACAAAAGAACGAAAAAATGTCGGCGGCGACGTACGACCACGAAGAATTGACAACACGGCACAATCGATGTCATCCAGGGGTACAAGCTCGAATTTTCTCCTGCAATCTAGAGCGGCCATCTGCATAATCCTACTATTTGCCCTGTCGTAGTCACGTCAGTGTCCAATAGCGAAAAAAAAAAAAACGGTTGTTCGAGGGAAATCCTTCGGATGGGATCAAGATTCTCCCTGTTCATCGTCATTTATCTCAACCGTGAAAGGGATCAATTAACGGATGTGCTTCAACAGCGCAAATTAACCGAGAATTTGTGCCATCGCGATTCTTTGTGAAATTAAAACTGGAGTCAACGAAACAATGTTATTTTGTGTTATTCGAACGAGAGAATACGCATAGTTAGCCAACGAGCTCCTTTCGAGTTCTGTTACTTGTAACGGTGTGCATCTTATTTCGGTTTGGTATTGGTTATCGAAATTGTGAATCTAATTTTTTAAACGATGCGCTTGGAAGAAGACAAACATTTTAGCTCCTATGTACATACGATATTTTATATGCTTTATAAACGTACGAGTTACTCAAAGAAATTTCATTCAGTGAAACATGTTCGGCCTAATTATTGTACATTGTATTGTATTATTGTATGTATTATCACTGCATCTGTTGTACGAATGAATGTACAACGTACAAGGTTTCTCTGGAGAAGATTGGTCTCTTCAAATAATGAAAATATTTTATTAACGATGTTTAACAATTGTGTTTATTGTTGATGTAAAAAGATTTTTTGGTTAAAAATAAAAGAACATCTGTTGGGAACAATGAAACATTTGAGATTACGAATAATTTAGTTTAAAAAATATTTGATGATGTTGAAGTATAATCTGATTAAAATGTTAAATATTGCATATGCTATTGTAAATGTATATTTTTTCCCGCTTGAACGCAAAGTGATGTTTTATTTCAATGTATAATCCCTAGTCCAAATTACACATTTTTCACAAACACAAAAATGAATATTTAGAAATACTAAAAAAATTGTTTGAATATCATAGAAACTTAATTGTGGTATAAAAGCAGCTTAAGCATATTATAAAATCTGTTCATATAAACGTAACGTCTACGCAAATTTATTTAAACATCATAATTGCACAGTATAATTGTTATAAGAGTATAATAACAATATAATTTAGTAAAATTTTTAAACATTTGATTGCGAACAAACGTGGAGTAGGCTTAATATAATTTATAGGATTGTAAATACACTGTTCACAAGCGTATCCTGCAATAAATGTAAATATGATTGTGAAAATTTGATCTGCCTTAAAATTATGGATATTCAATAAAACATGCTCATTTAAAATGATTAAACAATTATTAAAAATTATTAGAGGAATTGTTTTACATTTGCGCATAATGGCGAGATATTTAATATGAGTGTTATTTACTCGGTGTAATTACTTCTGGCGAACAGTGGAAAATGAACGAAACAACTATAAATTTTGGCTCTGTAATAAAATATTACGAAGAGCACCCATTGTGTTTTCCTAATTATCTGTTATTGTGTTTTACGGTGATATACAAGGTGGTTCATTTTGCATATTCCGAAAAATTTTTATAAAATATACGGTATATGAAAATATTTGTTATATAAGCGTTGCATAGTTTGCAAAAGAACTCGTGTATGAAGATACTTCTTTTGTAGATGGGGGAGTTTCGAAGATTTTAATATAGATTTTATTTTATCGCTACCATCTATCTCCAACGACCTTATCTTTATTTCGTCCTTACTGTATTGATAAACTTATTCTACGGAAGTTTTTGATATTGGATCTTCAACTTTGTACTACTCCAGATAAATTTTTGAAAAATTGTTCGATACCTTTTTAGTTAAAAAGGTAATTTCTACTTGGAGTTTTCCATACACTGATAGTTTGATACAAAAAGTAGAATTTAAAAGAACGGAGCTGGCGATGAAATGTTTGAAATGTTTTCTACTCATGAAAATCTACTCTTTCAAAGTATACAGTGTTCACTTAAAAATTTTGTTTCAATAAGGCACAGAAATTTAAAATATGAAAGTTGCTTGAACTACTTTGAATACACCATAGCACAATTATTTAACACATTCTCTGCTTCTTAGGTGAAATAAATCCTTTTGCACATACGTTGTACTTTTAATAATATTGTGTTCATATATAAAAATAACACGCACAAATAATGTTTACATGACGAAACAAGGAAACGCAAAAGGCGTTTATGTCAAAGTTTATGTAAATAATATGAAACAAAAACAGAAGAAAACCGTCAGTATTTATTAAGTATCTACTGTTGAATATTTATTAAACCATTTATTTATAAAATATTTACCTCTTATATTGTACTTATTTAATTTTAAATCGTTTATGGGAACTATCTTCTCCTGAGAGACCTTGTGTTTATTATAATAAACACACCTTGTATTGTATAGTATAAGATTACTCAACGTAACATAGATGACATATTGTTTCTGTGCCGATGTTCGTGCGGTGTGTTGTTGAAACAACTTTGTATAATTGATGTGCACTCGTATGCGTATGTCGACGTATACACGTTGCACTGGAATGTATTGAGTGACTTAAACGCGTTGTATCATTGTATTTGCAACTTAAAAAGTTGACACGGAGAGTAATGTGTAAAACCTTAGAATGAGTCGTACGTGTAAATTTCCTCTAGAGAGTAATTACTTGCATATATTTGTAAATATGGTAAAAACACGATGATTCTAATGACATTTGCCAGCGAATCTGTACATATACCACTTCGTGTGTAGAATAAAGAGTTGTATTTAATTTCTATGTGATTTTAGGTCATCTACATTTGAAGAGTTTCATTTATTTTCTGTGAAATTGTTGTTCAATCTATTTTAAGCACTTGTATTATTTATATTAAATTTATATTTATATTAAACACAACTTATATGTATTATATTATATATATTACAATTTTGTATATAATTTTGTATTGATATAATCGTGTGTTGTGAAGTGTACAAGCAAGTCGACTACAACACTGAAAACAAATGAACTTTTCTTCATTTTCAATCGATTTAATTGATTTTCTGAGACAAAAGAGAGTGCTAGGTACTTTGAAGTAGAAGAGTTGGTAGCAATATGGAATAACGAACAATTATTATAGAATAATCTGTCTAGCTTGTCCAAAAGTTGCATAATAAACTTGCAAATCGATGAATACAAACGTAGGTAAACTTTCACCGCAGCACTGATTGTAAGCATTAATTATACAGCAGAAATTGACCGAAAACAGCCTGCAGTTATTTCAAAATGTTTTGGAGAATAACGTAACGGTTTGGCAAAAAATCGATGTCTCGTATTACTACCAACTCTTCTGACATTTATTGTACTATAATATGCTAGTTATTGATGAAATTCATTGTACAATCTGTATATACGTATAGCAAAATAGTTAAAAAGTACATATAATTTATAATTTGTAATCTGTAATTAGTCGTAACGGTTATAGTAATAATCAACATAATAATAAAAGTACCTCAGTGAGCTTGCTATTCCTCCCTAGATATGCAGCATATAAAATTAAATTTTTCTTATTAACAAATTACAGATTTTTCTTATTTCTTAAGTTCTTTTTATATTTAATACAAATATAAGTATCTCAACAAATTGTGTATGGATGTATTGTGTATTTTATGTCGTATCAAAACTATGGATTAAATAAATTATGATTTTGAGTGAGGTGTAAGGAAAGAATAGTACAAATGTTATAGTTTGTAGAAATATTTATTTTAAATCTTCATATCTTTATTGTATCGAAATTTTTTATATTTCATTTTAAATTAACATTTAAATTTTCATTCTCAGAATAACTTTGATATATGTATAATGTGAAAGGAATGTTATTAATTATCTTTAAAAGCTGTTCTTAATTTTCAAGTTTTAATAAAGTATAAGAAGAAATTAATATTACATGCTGCATATTTAAAGGATTTTGGTGAAGTTCGTAGATACAAATCAGTGTAAAAACTGTCTTTCCGTCGTTGTAGTTTTAGTTTGAACAATTGAGATGGATGCTTGTCGTTGAATAGATATTATCTTGACGAGAGGTGTGAATGTTTAACCCTTAGAGTACGGATCGCAGTTAATAAATATGACCGAAACATGAAAACAGATAATGTTGAATTTAGAACTTTTTCCGCGACAATTGATAGGAATTTGGGAATAAAAGAGATTTTATATAATTAGTAAATAATGGCCTCAGACTCGCAGTACTTTAAGGGTTAATTTATCATGTGCAAATGAAGCAGTACGTTTCTTACGCATATATTTGTACATAATATACAGAAAAACTGCTCAATTTGAAAATTGCGCACGTATATTAAGAAGTTAAATTTTAGCAAATTGTAAAATCACATAATTTTTAATTCTTTACATCGAGGAAAATTTGCAGGTTTCATTTTCTACAGGATTCATCTTTTTCTCATAAATTTTATACCATTATCACGAAGGCATGCTATTTGTTAAAAACATGATTGTTAAATGTGTTGATCAAAAATCGATTTTCACTGAAAATAAATAATTTGGTGATAAGACACATCTCGAGATTTATCGTAAGTTTAATAAAAATGATGTACTGCTCCATTGTAACGTAAATACATAGCGTAAGGATTCTTGTAGAGACATAATAATTTAGTCAAAATGTATGGTAAGTAATTAAAGAAAGTACTTTGTATTCAAAATATGTTATTAATTCCTTACGGTTGACACCTGTTAAATATTTTTAGGTGCTTGTAAATTACATATACTATAGTTATAATACGTTCACCCTTTGATTAAACTTTTTTAAGTAACATCTTGTATTAGTTTTTTTCAAATAAAATATATTTCAAATAAAATGTATATACACTATACAATAAATAAAGTAGATTAATAAATAATAAATATTAAATATACACTGAATGATGTGAAAGATAAAGGTGTTTAAAATAATGGTCCTGGCAAAATACTTCAAAATTAATGAAACCAGCGAGAAACTAAATCGGTTGACCATTAATAATAATAAATAAATTGTATATACTGTATATTATTCACATTAACTCTTTGCAACAGAAAGGTGATATACATTCATTGTTCACTTTAATGCAACAAATTAAAATAAATATTTTTTAACTAAATTGATAGATATTTAAACTAAATCGTATTGCACATTTGCACATAGTATAAGTACATAGTATAAATATAGGGGAACAGTTCAATATAAACAAAATAATGTAGACAATAGTGAAAATTAATGAATAGAGAAAAAATAGTCTTAAAAGAATTCAGCAAGCTTTCAAATTAAAACGTTTCAAAGCTGCCATCTGGCAACAGGAAAAAAGACTTCGAAGGGTCAATTTACTATGAGTGTTATTAGCTGTTAAAAATTTTATCGTCAGTCGGACACTATTGCAAAAACGAAAAACATTGCAATGCATTTCCACATTCTTCTTCCGAAACTGTTCTCAAAAGAGAAGATCGGCAAAGTACATAACTTCCAAAGTTGCAACGAAAGCATCAATGGCGGCAGAATTAGAAAGCGATATTGGAAAAGAATTAGTAAATGTACGGTTCAAAGAGCAGTAAAAGAAACTAATTTTACGAGTGAAAAGAAAATGAAACTCTTTCGAGGAACATCAAAGCTCGTTTAAATTGCGCAAAAAATACTTCAAGAAAGTCGAATACCAAGCAGTGGAAAAATTAACTACAATCGAAATATAAAATGAATAAAAAATAACACTTTATTCAGCGACGCTGCAAAATTTATTTCTATAAAAATGATGTTGTATGACCATAACACTTTAATTGAAAATTAAACAATTTTAAAAGAACAATATATACATTTT